AATGTGTAAATGCTAGAATGCTAGAATTTGCAAGATGACCCTACATGGGTTAGTACTGTTATCCATGCCACCAGCAACATATGAGCGTGTTGGTCTACCCAGAGTCTCACCGCCACAGCGTGAGTCAAATGTTTTGAATGCTAGCTGTGCTACAGCAGAATGATAGCCACACAAAAGTGTCCACAACCTGATCCCCAAGTCTCTGAATACGTTACTTTTCATGACAAAATGGACTTTGAAGATGCAATTAAATTCAGGATCTTCAAAGGGAGAGATTACCTTGGATTATCCAGGTAGAAACAACGTAATCACAGGTCCTTATATGAGAGCGGAAAGAGTGTCAGAATCAGAGGAGGAGATGTGATGACAGCAGAGTGTGGAAGGATGTGGTCCACGTGCCAAGAAATGTGGGCAGCCTCTAAAAGCTGGAAAAGGCAAGAAGTGAATTCTCTCCTTGAGCCTCAGGAACAGAATGTAGCCACGCCAGCACATTAATTTTAGCCCATACGGCATATTTTGGATTTCTGAACTCCAGAATGTAAGATACTTTTTTGTTTTACTTATTTATTTTATTTTAGGCCACGTCAGGCGGCTTGTGGGACCCTAGTTCCCTGACCAGGGATTGAACCCGGGGCCCTCAGCAGTGAAAGTCCTAACCACTGGACCGCCAGGGAATTCCCAATTTTTTGTTGTTTTAAAGCATTAAATTTGTGGTAATTTGGTACAGCAATGAGAGGAAAGGCATACACTTTCCACTATGACAGATGAGAAACTGTATATCATTGTAGCTTGAATTCATACTTCTCTTATTTTGAGTGTGGTGAATTATCTTTTTATATGTTTATTATATTTAGAAAAACTTTGGGAGAACACAAAGCACATTGGCTAAGATTTCTGTTGTTAACAGGAGGGACTACAGATTTAGCGACATCTAGGTTTCGATTACAATGTGGTTGTTTAAATCATGGGACAGTAAGACCTGGGGATGAGACGCAGAAACTTCTGCATTCCACCTGGAGTCCACATTTTGAGTCAAACTCACCATTTCCTTGAAGGAACCGTTCCGAATATTCTTCAAATGATTCCGGCTCTCTGATGATCTTTACCATTTTCCAGAAATGATAACCGGAAGTAATAACATCTCTGGGATTTCTCATTACATAAATACACTTAAATTTAAAAAAAAAGAGAAAATGAGAATAAATGTATCCATTTCCCTTGCTCCACGCTTTTCACAAATGGAGAAAATGCCAACGCCCATTAAAGTGTTTGGCCACAATTTAGTCTTTAATTCATTTATTTAACAAAATATATTTAGAACCCACAATGTGCCAGACATTTAGTTAGATTCTATAGAAGGAGCAGTGTATAAGATATGGATTGTTTCTGCCCTTAAGAACCTTATGATACATGGAATGATGGTCTTTAAAGTTTTGAGAGGCAGAGATGTTATTACATTTTGAAGAAGTCTGACTTTTATTGGGATTCTGCCCTATTCATTGCTATTCCTGGAATTTCATGTTCCAGGCCTCACTATCTTTTCCTAGGAATTTCTACGATATCAGTATTTCCCAGGTACTAATCAGACAGATGTGAATGGCCAACTGTATATAAGGGTTCGTTTATAAAATTCAAAATGATGGCATGAATAAACTCATGCTGCTGTAGATGGTGAAACCTCAAGAGGAAACAAACTTTCAGGGTTCTCAAAACAAACTTAAAAAAAAAAAGGAACTAGTTTTATGTCAGTAAACCTGGGCTAGGACATGCTAGATCAAGTGTTATATGAGGTCATTTCCAATTCGGATCATTGCTTTACTCCACTGCAGTCATAATCTGAGCTGGGTATCACTTATACGTGGAACCTAAAATATGACACAAATGTTTAAAATCAAATGTCATATCTAAAATATGACACAAACACACAAATGTTTCTCTTCTGTTCTTACTTACAGAACAGAAACAGACTCACAGACATAGAAAACAAACTTACGGTTACCAAAGAGGAAGGCGGGGAGGGATAAATTAGGGGTATGGGATTAGCAAAGACAAACTACTATATATAAAATAGATAAACAACAATAAGCGGATTCTTAATCTACTTATTATATTTCTTAAAGTAGATATAATTCATTGAGTATGCACTAGGCTCTGATCTAAGCTAGGCTATCAGTAAAAATTGTGGTCGCTACGGAAACTAACAAATTTTGTCTGTTATTGGTCTTTTTTCAAATGATCTATACATTCCTTTTGGATGTGGCTTGAGGTCATCTTAATCATCACATTCCTCCCAGCCCTTAGCACAGATGAATAAATCCTGCTGGTTCAAGCACACAAAAATGGAGCTTCAACGACGTTGCACTCTTTGTTCATAGACAAAATCTGGAGAACTGAGGTTCAAACCAGAATTTTCTGGCGTAAAGTCATAATCATTTTACAGAGTGTGGTCTTGGACTATTTTTTTTTTTTTGGTTTGTTTTCCTGTTTCATGTATTCTTTCATTCATTCAATATTTTCTTTCTTTATTATTTTATTTTACTTAGGTATAATTGACATACAACATTATATTCGTTTCAGGGGTAAACCATAATGATTCAAAATGATGACCACAATAAGTCTAGTTAACACTGGTCACCAGACATAGTTACAGAATTATTTTTTTCTGGTGATGAGAATGCTTAAGATTTACTCTTTCAGCAACTTTCAAATGTGCAGTGCAGCATTATTAACTATTGTCACCAGGCTGTACATCACATCCCCATCATTTATTTATTTTATAACTAGAAGGTTGTACCTTTTGACCTCCTTTACCCATTTTGCCCACCATCCACCCTCCACCTCTAGCAACTACCAATCTGTTCTCTGTCTCTATGAGCTTTTTCTTTTTAATTTTGGATTCCACATATAAATGAGATCAAGTGGTATTTATCTTTCTCTATCTGACTTATTTCACTAAGCATGAATGTCCTCAAGGTCTATCCATGTTGTCACAAATGGCTTGATTTCATTCTTTTTCATGGCCGAGTAATATTCCACTGTGCAGTTGACCCTTGAACAACATAGGTGTTGGGGGTACTACCCCCTACATGGTGGAAAACCCAAGTACTTCTATCTCTGCTTCAAAAGCAAAGGAACTGATACTCACCCAAGGGCAGGAAGTGGAAACAGTCTGGATAGAATCAGGACTCAAACCCTAATTCTTTTGATTCCACATATTGTGCTCTCTAATCGAACAGAAACATTTTCCCACACTTAGTTAATTTAAAAAGCAATAAAATGGGGCTTCCCTGGTAGTGCAGTGGTTGAGAATCCGCCTGTCAATGCAGGGGACACAGGTTCGATCCCTGGTCCGGGAAGATCCCACGTGCTGCGGAGCAACTAAGCCTGTGCACCACAACTACTGAGCCTGCACTCTAGAGCCCACAAGCCACAACTACTGAGCCTGCATGTCACAACTACTGAAGCCCATGCTCCTAGAGCCCATGCTCAGCAACAAGAGAACCCACCACAATGAGAAGCCTGCGTACCACAATGAAGAGTAGCCTCCGCTCACCACAACTAGAGAAAGCCTGTGCACAGCAACGAAGACCCAACGCAGCCAAAAATAAATAAATAAAATAAATAAATTTATTAAAAAATAAAAAGCAACAAAATGAAAATACAGTACTATATTTATTGAAAAAAATCTTTGTATAAATGAAACTCACAGTTCAAACTCATGTTGTTCAAAGGTCAACTGTATGTATATATACATTTTTATATATATATATATATATATCTCACATCTTATTTATCCATTCATCCATCAGTGGATACTTATGTTGCTTCCACATCTTGGTAATCATAAATAAGGTTGCATTGAACATGGAGGTGCATCTATCTTTTCAAATTAGTGTTTTCGTTTTCTTTAGATAAATACCCAGAAGTGGAATTGCTGGATCAAATGATAGTTCTATTTTTAATTTTTTGATGAACCTCCATGCTGTTTTCCATACTGGTTGCGTCAATTTACATGCCCACCATCCAATATTTTCTTAAATCTCTATATTGTTTTAAGCATTCTGGTAGGTTGGTGTAAAATGGTAAAAAAAAAAAAGCTACAAAATAAACCTGGTCTTCATAATCGTGGTGATCACAGTAAAATAAATATACCTGACAATAAACAAGCAAACAAATAGAAACATAGTACAATATTAATATTATGAAAAACACTGTGATGTTAGAATATTTTGATCATACTTCCACTACCACATCACATACGATTGTTTGAGGGAGTTTCATACATTTTTTCTTTCTTCCTTTTATGTATTTATTCATTTTTGGTTGCACAGCAAAGTAATTCATATATATATATATATATATATACTTTTTCAGATTCTTTTCCATTAGAGGTTATTACAAGATATTGAGTATAGTTCCCTGTGCTATACAGTAGGGCCTTATTGTTTATCTATTTTACATACAGTCGTGTGTATCTGTTAATCCCAAATTCCTATTTCATCCTCCCCTTTCCCCTTTGGTAACCACAAGTTTGTTTTCTATGTCTGACAGTGTATTTCTGTTTGTAAATAAGTTCAGTTTCACACAGTTTTGATAATACCTTCGGTGTCACGTTTTAAACTATAATCTAAGATGAGTGAAGATGCACATTTACAGCACAGGGTCACTCAGTGTTAGGGTCCTCCTTTAGAGGTCCTGAGATTATGCCTCAGAGGTCTGTGGATCTATTAAGTGGGAAAGACATGCCCTAAATGATTTCACGATTAGAAAAACCCAGTGGGATTTCAAACATGTGTTCCAATCCTACATTTCTTCTGAAATACAGATGCTGATTTACAGTTGAGACACCTCCCATATGGTCATATCAATGTTGGGTACCTAGGGGTTGGGGGTGCAGCCAGGGTTTATTTAATTAAGGACCGAGTATTCTCTGGAGCAGCAGCAGGGAGATTGTCTGGTATGTGTCACCATAGCTTGGAACAAGCTTTTCTAATATGCTTACTTCACTGAATCACATTTTTTAAAATTTATTTTTTAATTGAAGTATAGTTAATTTACAATGCTGTGTTAGTTTCAAGTGTATAGCAAAGTGATTCAGTTATACATACATGTATATCTATTTTTTTCATCTTCTTTTCCCTTATAGGTTATTACAAAATATTGAGTATCGTTCCCTGTGCTATACTTGTCGTTTACTTATTTTATATATAGTAGTGGGTAACTGTTAATCCCAAACTCCTAATTTATCTCCCCCACCCCCACCCCTTTGGTAACCATAAGTTGGTTTTCTATGTCTGTGAGTCTATTTCTGTTTTCTAAGTAAGTTCATTTCATTTGTGTCATTTTTTAAGATTCCACATATAAGTGATATCATATAACGTCTGTCTTTGTCTGACTTAACTTCATTTAGTATGATCATCTCTAAGTCCATCCGTGTTGCTGCAAATGGCATGATTTCATTCTTTTTTTTGGCTGAGTAATATTCCACTGTGTATATGTACGACATCTTTTTTTTTTTTTTTTTTTTGCTGTACGCGCCTCTCACTGTTGTGGCCTCTCCCATTGCGGAGCACAGGCTCCAGACGCACAGGCTCAGCGGCCATGGCTCACGAGCCTAGGCGCTCTGCGGCATGTGGGATCTTCCCGGACCGGGGCACGAATCCGTGTCCCCTGCATCGGCAGGCGGACTCTCAACCACTGCACCACCAGGGAAGCCCGCCCAGTATCTTTTTCTCTGAGCTTTTCTTCCAGTCACTTTCTGTGTCACACCAAATCCCAAGACACATTTTGAACTTTGCTTACTGTGCCAAAAATCACGGGACATTATTACAATTCCAAAATCTCTGCAAAATATGTTTATGTAACAGCAAAGGTCACAGGGAGATTGAAAAGAATCAGGAATAGTGGACATGCTTGGAATTCCCAATAAGAAAGAGGTTTCTCTCTCTCTCTCTCTGGTAACTTATGTTACCAAAGGGTAGAAGTGGGGGGGGGGGGGGGGGAGGGATAAATTAGGATTTGGGGATTGACATATACACACTACTATATATAAAATAGAGAACCAACAAGGACCTACTGTATAGCACAGGGAACTACACTCAATATTTTATAATAACCTATAAGGGAAAAGAATCTGAAAAAGAATGTATATATAAAAGAATATATATAT